AGCATTCATATTGAACTTGCCTTTTATAGAATTGTATAATTCCCTTCATCACATACAAGCTACAATCAGTACGTACCACAGTTTCAGTGAATGTACTAGCCTTCCAGCTAAAAGGATAAAAAACACTTGACGATATGTATAGAAGCGTTATCCTAAACTGGACTAGCATTCAATTTCATAGGCAAAATTTACCATCTTAATTTATGATTTTCAACAGGTCTGATGACTATGTCACTGAACGATGATATATGCCCGTTTTAATCGCTTACAGGAACTCCAACTTTACCGAGGGTCCTCCACATATCCCTGTTGTTGAGTAAACAATGACACAATCGACAACCTCGTGATTTGGTGTCAAACTAATCTGATTCAAACTGTAATTGCAGCTTTCCACTATGATAATCGAGTAATAATTACCTCCAGAGTATTATGAATTTAGAAAGCGTAATTGAGGTTCACGTCACGCACTTTGTACAGTTCACTGCCGAAGAATTTTGGACTCGTGTTCGGTTCAGACGCATTTGATCTCAGAACGAAGAGTATTTCACCTAGCCAGGTGTTGTGGAACATAAAGCTCACTCCTGCATTAGTCTAGCAGGTTATGGGGACTAACAGAAAATCAAAACCCTGATGTGAAAATGACTGTCATACAAATGGGTCCCCGAGTGTCGGTTGTCCAAATTAGAGTTGATGCTCCATGTCTAATCAAATCACCTACTCAGTACTGTAGATATAGAAAACGAGGATCTTATTGATGGAATTGTGAGATGACAGTGGGCATATGGGCATATGGGCACAAAACATGGCCAATTACACCATAGCTGATGGATTGTGAACAGTTCTGATCATACTAACTCAAGATATTTATATCCTAGATAGGCCAAGATAAACACCGAAACATTCAAGCCTCCCGTCTATCTAGGAGTAGCTCTATGTATGCTGTTTAAACCATTATCTTTCCTTCATACATGGCTCATTCTACAATTCTCTCCATATATATATATATATATATATGTTTGGTTCGGGGATCATGGTCTTTTTGTGGTTCGGACCTTATAAGAGGAAAATGATATTGTTGTGCTTATTGTAAGAATGTTAAGAAACTCATTTCTTTATAGAGAATGTTACAAGGATGTAAACTTAGGTCAACCTTTAAAAAAGATGACCAATATCTCACATACTGGAACGTCTGAAAATATTTTAAGTTCCCAAAGTATCGTAAGTCTGAAAGTTCCCAAAATATTGTAGCTAAGAATACCTGAAGACCTATTGCGGTCACTTCTATTTCCAATCTGGATGATCCAGGCTAAAAAGCAGCGAAGAAAGGTGTATGCCGCGATCAAAATAAACTAGATCAAATATGAAATGTGCTCAAAAGACAAAGAAACAAACTTTTAGAATAGCTTGTTATCTTTTAAATTTATTGTACTCTCAAATTTTTGCTGCGATTATTTAAAATTTCATATGTATCTATCAACAATTTGTAAACTACATCTTTTATTTTCATAATAAAAATACTTTTAAACAGAGATATATAGCAAATGATGAAATTTTAATATAATATTTTTTAAGATTTTGTTTCAAAGAATTTCAAAATATTTTTATTATTTCTGTGAACGTAAGCATATATCTACTTTAAAAAAAGTTGATCAACAACAGATCTTTAATTTTTTTTATAACGTTTTGTAACAATTTCAAAACTCTAACCTAATGATAAAAATTTTAAAAATAAATAATTATAATACTCTTGTTTATAGTGATACAAGAGTTGTTCTGTTGAAAATTATTGAACTACTAAATATGATGAGGTTGCAAAATCTTAGTTTCTAGACCATTGTTTGCTAAAATAAAACTTATCTGATGAAGTTTATGGAAGAGATATTAGATGTAATTTCTTAATACAAGTAATTATGTACATCCAATCATAATTTCAATTGTATCATTGAATACAATTCTTAGCTTAGAATTGTATATTTGGAATCTATGCGGTTAAAAGTATATTTTGCATTTCAGTCTCAGTACATAAACAAAATATTTCAAACACAATGTGTGGAGTTTTTATTAGTATGATCTCAATTGAAAAATGAAATTTACAGATGATAAATCCGTCAATTTATTTCTCAGTAATGTTTATATTTCACCAGTTTGATATTAATTTTTTTTATAATATATGATAATTTTTAATGGCAATTTGCTATTCATACAAAAGTTGACTTCAAGTTGAGATTACCATAAAGGTTGAAGAATTTTTTTTATTAATTATTGCAAAAAATTAAATAAATAAAGAAATAAAACATATGTCTTTATCATAGAGGAATTTTTTATATTAAATGAAAACAAAATTACTGAAAGATTTAAATGAAATTTTTTATTTTGCGATACTTTTTAAATTTTGAATTTACTTTTATACAATAATCATGAAATATTTAAATTTATTATCTGATTTAAATATATTTTTTAATTAAAAATTACAAAATTTACTTCTGAATTAATTCGAATCTCAATTTTGAGTCAGAATGAGAAAATGAAAGTAATTTATATAGCCAAAGTTGATTTTTAATTCAATGATAAGAAAATATTAAAAATACATATTTCTAAAATTAACATTAAAAATAGTTTAATTATTATTTTGAAAGAAATTTAGAAATTTTTTAGATTAAATAAAAAATTTGAAAGAGAAATTAAAAAATTCGTATAGAATGGAATAAATGTAAGGTATTGTGTTTTCTAATCACAAATTTTAAAAATATTGAAAGTATTTTAAAAATACTTAAAATTATAAAGAAATTAATTTTACAATTTGAATAATTCTGAAATTTTTTCGGTAAATTTTAATTTGTTTTTTATGCAGCAGTTATAGATGTTATTTTGCCAAATCAGGAGTAGCAAAACAACTGGAGGAAAGTCATAGAACATACTTCATATCCGTTATAAAATTGATGATTATGTTGTTCAATTTTTGTAAAATCATTTCAGCTCATAAATTTAATTTAACTAGAAAAATTATAAATAATCAAATTTTACAAAGTTTTACTTGACAGATGATCTTAATAAAAAAAGAAATATAACATCTTTACAATATCTCAATAAAAGTTAAAAGCAAATAAAAATATAGTGTTGAATAATTATAATACTTATAAATTGAAAAATAAATTTTTTAATTGTGACATATACAACCAACTTTAGAGTTCTAGTAGGGGCGACCGAGCCTTGACAAACAGTACAACTCTTTCCAACTTTGGAATACTAATAGCGGTGGCGATGCTCTTAAGACGAAACCAACTCTTTTGGACGACTTATAATACCACTAACAATGGTAGTGCATTGGGCATGCTTCAAATATATAAAGAGTCTAGGTACATTTTCACTCACTCTGGTTAACACCAAGTGTATCTTGCTCTTGCTTTCATCAATCAATCTTCTTTTTGGACTTCTTAATCTACTTCGACTTTGTCACGTTTCGGTTTGAAGTATCTTTTCAATTCTGATTTGTGTTCTTTCGGAGAGTTGCAACACTAATGTACATTTTTCTAAAATAAAACATTAGATAAAAAATAAACCAATTTGATTGTATAAAGTATCCGATTTTTTATATTGATCATATAATCTAATTAATGCATGAACTTAAGCTTTGAGCAGTTTTAATTTTTAATTTTATGCTTTAAAATTCTATGAATGTGATTATTTCTTACAATTAAATATAATATAATTTGAAATGATTTAAATTTGAGAGTAAAATTTTTACTGTAGTTATATACTTGATTATAAAAAAAGTTTGATTTTTGAATGTACTAGTGTATTATTGCAACTAGAAATGAACTTGCAAAAAATACCTGTGTTCCTACTATTAATATCCAAAATTTAGAGTAAATATTTTTTAATCTTTTTTTTTAGAAAAAATTGGTTGTACAAAATAAAATTGATGAATTTTTTTTTTGATTCATACGATATTATATTTGGATTTGTATTACACATTGAGATATATCATATGATTAGATTGATATTTCAAAATTATGAAAATAAAATATGAAAAAATTACATAACATTATAACAGAAATGCTAATCAGTAATATGTAAAAATCGTGCAAAAATTTTATCTTCAATTTTGAAGAATCGTAATATTTGAATGTAAACATTTTGGTTCAGTTAAAAAAAATTAAAATTTGAATATGGATCTACCAAGTTTACAATAAACACAGATTACATATAGAGAAAGTTATACTTATGAATTAAAACAATGCAGCACTGATTATTCATCTTCAAATAAGAATGAATTTGTAAATGATCATACATGTTTCAAAACAATTTTCTGATAAATTGTGTTAACATGATGATCATAAACATGAAAAAATTTGAAATTTGAAATTTTTTTCCAATAGAAATAAATTTGAATTATAATAATTCAAAATTGAAGAATATGAAATAATATCTTGATTTGAGTTAGATGTCATTTCAGAAGTTTATAAACTGTCACGAAATGATATATTTATAAAGTATAAGTTAAATATTATTATAAATTATACATTAGCTCTTGACTTTTTTCACAAATGTGTTGGTCATTACATTCCACATACAGTTTAATGAGCAAAAGAAATATTTGGTTTTACTATGTGCAGTACATTGTTTTGGAATTTTGTTACATAGATTTGTATAACATATTTTTTTGTTTGATTTAAAACTTAGAATTCTTTTTTATGTATTTTGATTATTCTCCAACTAAATATTAAAAATAATAATATTTTAAACAGTGATTTTTTATATGATACAATCTCAAAATAAAAAAAAGATATTATTAGCAATTTCTTTATAATATAAAATTTACTTATAAATGGTGACATATTTGAGATATATTTGCATGTGTGGATACAAGTAGCTGACTCGAATTGAATACCTCGAACAGACACGCCAGAATGGTGCTTGCCTCGCAGAACTCATAAGCGAAATCTCTGCTCTGCGTTCGGATATCATTGTAGATCATGAGAAATTGTGGTTTCGAGCCAAGACACAAAAGCTTCTGCAAGGTTCATTCCGAATGAGAAGAACTAAAGGTGCTCAATTACTGGGCTGGAGTAGCGTCAGCCAAAAGATTACAATGCTCATGAGATGCCTCAAGAATCGGTTGATCACGAACATAAACATTTCGGCCTATACTTTCAGATCCGATCTTCCTTTGGCCCGATAACAGTGCATGATTCGACGAGACAAAGAAAGAAGCAAGAGAAGTGAAAACAAAACCAATGGCAGCAAGATGTACCAGGAGATGTAGGGCGACATATCCAAGATGAAGATCAGTATCCAGATTGGAACGGAGATGAAGAAGAAAGTGACAAAGAATAATGCAGCGTTGGAAGCGAAAAAGAAGACGGCAGCGATTGCGGAAAACAGGAGATGAAGTGCAACAGAGGCAATGAAACTTGGAACAGGAGGAAACCGCTTCGCGACGTCAAAACACCAGATGATGACATTTGATCGTGGATCCTTCTTCGTGACGCAGTCATCGAGGTATCTGAGTACGAAGAAAAGGAGTACAGTGCTCAGTGCAAAAATGGCTTGGCGGCCGAGACGATCGTTGTGAGAGTAGAACAAAGAGAAGAAGACATCGATTCCAGTTTGATGCTTGGGGATGGGTGGACAAAGATGAAGGGCTAGAAACCATAGTACCGCAACACCTGGAGTCAGAGCCACCAAAACGATCAAAACCAGGGCCAGCGTTTCTAGCCCCACCGCGCACCAGTAAACTGCGTCCAAAATTGCTAAAAGAGGAACGAGAAGAAGGTTTGACTGGAATTTCTCGGAGGCAGAATACCCCCGTGACCGAATTCTCCTGCTCAGCCACCACCAGGTCCATCCAGTCTTCTCTTGGGACTGAGTATCTTTGACATGCTCCTTCTCTGCCTCGAGAGCTTCCATTCTCCCCGCGAAATCTCCAGAGCCGTTTTAACCTCGTGCGTCCGTACCTCAATCTGTCACTCAGCTGTCCTCCTCGTTCATCACATCAGCTTCTATCTGAGCTAAGCCCGAACCATTCCACCAAATTGGAAGAGGGAGAGCTCATCTTTTGGTTGGTCGGTCTGTTGGGTACAAGTTGCCGATCAGATCAGGATTTGTAAACCCCGTTAGCTCTTCGAGTCCGCTGTGACTCTTGTGCTCACCTCTTCAATCCTGCACAGAATTGACTTGTTTCCGGCAGATTTCAGACACTGGAGTTGCCTTCCGCCCATCGGAGCTCTTATACCCGAAATCTTCACTGTGTCGTGGGACTGAATCAGATCCATCACGATTAAAATCGACGTCAGCCGACGTTAGTCGTCAACTAGCAGCAGGCAACAATCATATTCAAAAACTTGTGACATCAATCCGCAACAGCGAACGAGTGAGTCAACTGCAAAGAGGGCGAAGTGATCCTGAACTTCAGCAGACGGCCGGTGCGAGGCGAGGTCATGGCTCGAAAGCGGTCGAGACTCCAAATCTCGAGCATGGCGAAGGTCGTTCGCTTTCGAGCCGCGACGTTGCGACGACAGAAGTACACTGTCGGCCTTTCGATCTGAGGGTCATCCCTCCGAGCGGCCCTCCTGGACTCAGCCACTGGACGGGGTCGTTAACTGGAGGCCCTCCAGTGGAGGGAATCAGAGAAGCACCACGAGGAGGGACTCGGAAAGTGAGCGACTTATCTTCTCCCCGGGTACTCGCTGCCAGGTCCACGCGTGCCAGGCGAGCCCGAGCTCTCCACTCAATGGAGAAAGTGAAGAGTGAACAAGTAGAATCACAAATTGGATGGGATTTATACCATCCAGCCTAAAACGGTGAAATATCGATGTAAATATAACTAGTCCTAGTCCTAGTCCCAACAGGTTCACACCAACATGGGGAGTAACCCATACTCTCTCTCTCTCTCTATGCAACAACTGAGAATAAAGTACATGAATTATCATTTTAATGTTTGTATGACAATCACAGCTTAAGGTTAGTAAGATTAAATGATTTTGTCAGATCTATAGGCTGAGTGCGATGATTTGGCTTCAAGAATTGTGTTCGATATGCATAAGAGTAAATAGATATCTGGAATATTGATTTTTTGATTGAGTAAGTTGAGGTTAGTAAGACTAAATGATTTTTGCAGATCTATAGGCTGAGTGCGATGATTTGGCTTCAAGAATTGTGTTCGATATGCATAAGAGTAAATAGATATCTGGAATATTATTTGTTGATTGAGTTAGTTAGTCGGTCTTAAGGTACATATGCTGAACCCATTTGGTTTAATAAATTTACCCAAAATAAGGTCGATTACACGTAAGGTAAAAATAAAGGTTTTTATTCTAAAGTCCTGGAATTTGAGCCAATAGTTGCACGGTACTCATAAATCAATTTTTTCCAAGAGAAGATTAGGAACTGATGTCGTGATTTAGGAGGTACAATCTTGTGAGAAGAAAATTAGATGAATAACATGCATCACAAAAATAACCTAGATAATCTAGGCAAATTTATGTTCAAGCAACAAGTAATTCTCTCAACTCTAAATCATTTTTTTTCAAATAGAGATTTCATCAACATAATACTTGATAGTTTTACTGAGCATAGTGAATTGTTGAAAATTTTAATTGAACTTCAATTGTCAGTCAGATTTAAAATCTATGAAAAAAAATCAAACGAAAAACATGCCATGCAATTTTTTCAAAGTTTTTAATGAAGATATTTCAACAAAAATAGCTCATACAACTAAAAATAAAAGAAAAGTAATCACAAACAATCTTGTGCTATTGTATACCAGAGCCCAACATTTTATTTCAAATTTGACCGGACCATAATCATCAGTAGCGATCTAATTCCATCCATACCCACCCATGCTATTCAAATTACTCCCATGTATTCAAAAATTGTGTAATGTGCATTACCCGTCTACTCAAAGTCTTGGTTGGATTTATCAAACAAAATGTCGTTCACTGTTGCTGGTTTCAGTCCAGAGCTAAAACAAAATGCTTCAATATTGTAGAATGCCATAGATAACTTACGGCTTTGTTTGATTCTCAGAACCTCAGCTAGCTCTGCACGTGAAGTCCAGAACAATCCTACTTTTAGCTCCAATCAATTTACACATTCATCGCTCGAAGCTGTTCACACCGGGAGTCAAGTGCTGAAACTTCTAGCATTTGTTGGAATAACGATAGTTTTTCTTCATTCAAAAGCAGATCCGTATGTAGCTCAATTTTAACGTTCACGTCATGGTTTCGCTTGTAGTAATCCAACTCTCACGGTGTAGTGTACGTCTGATGTGGGCAGATGGGCATGGTTTCGCTTGTAGTAATCCAACTCTCACGGTGTAGTGTTCGTCTGATGTGGGCAGATGGGCATGGATTTGTACGTGGAGTGGCATGGATTCTGACCCATTTGGAACCTATGGCCATCCAAATACACCAGGAAATTATAACCGCTATGCTATGTCATCCAAAACCCACCCAAAACCCATGGGCATGGATGAGTTTGGGCATCCACTGTGGGGCTCTGTGGTATATCCTTTTTCATCACATGAAAGGAATCTCAAAGCCTAATCGTCCCATAATATTAGAAAAGGGTCACATATGTAGATGTGACAATATGTCCCTCTAGTTAAAGGGTTAAAGTCGTAGATTTAGGACAAAAAGAGACGCTTCGAACAAAAGTCGCCATGAAACACTATAGCCTTATGTTTAGGACTCTTCAGCCTCAAAACCACATGATAGACTGAAGTTCAGGACTCGTTGATCCTTTGGATCGGTTTGACTCCATCCATGAAATATCTTGCAGATACAAAATTCAACAAGAAAGAGTACTTGTCGAAACACACCGACTCCATGATGTACTCCAGAGTAACTGCAAACCATGCTTGGACGGCAAGGGTGACAGTATGGAGGTTTGTTGACGTGAACCATGCAGGTGCATGTGATACCGGAACCTGTTTCCATATTCTTGTGACAAAATTAGAAGAACCTGCATAAATGTCCAATCTATCCTCCAAAACCCTAAATGAAAAACTCGCTGGCAATCTTTTGGACACAGCCAATTGCCAGCAATAGTTCAATATGTGACGAGAGTATCTGCCGGAGATTTATGAAAGTATTAACCGAAAACTGGGGCAGTAACAAGTCGTTAACGAAGACGGATCTCTTCGATTTTTTTGGTTGGGGTTGCGGAAGTGTTGTGAGCTCAGAGTTATCTATCTACTCTACCTCTACAGTAGACATTCGCTTAAGTCCGCACTTCACAAAACAAAATTCTTGGATCAATTCTCAAGAGTGTATTCTACAAAAAATCTCCTTGAGCAAAATAGAAGTTGCTGTTTCACTTGCCTGCGATGCAAATGCTCCAAATGTCTTTGAGCAAAATAGATGCAAATGCTCCAAATCTCCTTGAGCAAAATAGAAGCTGCTGTCGACGGTCGTCACCCAGAAAACCACCTGCTTATCGTCGAAGCAAGTGCAGAGCATTATGAAGGCAGTGAGTGAGTGTGCTCGCGCCCGTCTACCTCCTCACTGGGAGACGATCTCAAACCCTGCTCGCAGCAGAGCGGAGGCCACGCCAGGAGGAAGAGGGAGAAAGGGACGATAAACGAGGAGCCGCGAACCCAGAACAAGCGAGGTTGATTAGGCTTGTTCAACTCCGGCTTGAGCTTCCTGCGTCGGAGATGGAAACCGAAGGCAGATGGGAGGAAGAGAGAAACAAACTGACGCACGGAGGTTGAGAGTAGTTAAGTCTGCACCAGACCTCCCGGATCAAGTTGCGGACTTAACCGAATGTTTACTGCACTCGGGCATTCCTTGAGCATTCTGTCGAGGCAGAACTAAGGATCAAATTCTCCGAGTTTGTCCTCTTCCTCATGACGCATTCGGTCCCGACTTGGAGAGTGATGAAAAGAGAGGCAGGTATAATACCTGCTTCTAAACCATACCTGAGGTTTGGTTTAGATACGATGGCACGAGGCAGGTCATCGCGATGAAGTAGTCTGGAGATCGAAGTTCATCATTGATTAGGCTGACGGCACCTCCTCACTCAACTGTGATCCTCGTCAACCTTGGAAGGTCCATTGGGATCTACAAGCCTTTCTAATCTTATCGCTTTTTGACCAGTGATAAGTTTACACTTTTATTATGCTTGACAACTTTTGGTTAGAATATCGTGATGATATTTAATCATACCATTGAATCGATATGTGAAAGTAGATGTGACATAGAATTGAAACTTTTTTTTTTTTGTTTATTAATGCCTAGATTTTAAATTGATCAACAAAACATGAAATTTGAAAGTTTTGAGCTATATAGACATTATATGCAATTGTATAATATCTGTATGAATCATTGCATACAAAGGATTTTTTAGTAAAAGCGAGCTTATGAATAGATGATCAGATTTTTACAAAATGCAGTCGCTTCTTCATCATATATATGAGAAGATAACCATTTTTTTCCTATTAATTTGAAAATCAATGGAGAAGTAAATTATGTTCTATTTGCTCTCTGAGTCTTCCTGGTAGGAACTATTTTCTGAGGCCATGCGCGTAGTCCGAGGGATTCAGATTAATCTTTTTTAATGGGGAGTTATCGAAACAAAATTAATCCAAGACGAATATATTGTAATCATGTCAACTCTTTAACCCAATATACTTCAAATTGTGTAAATTCATGGATGTAAATTTTGATAGCCATGAAAAGTCATGTTATTTAAGAACATGTTGTACAAAATTTTGCTATCCTATATTGAAAGTTTTCATATCTTTAGCAGCGAGTAGAAAACTCATCACATTATATTATTCTTATTGGTAAACACACTTTATTTATTATTTTGCATCCCGTAGAATTACACAATTTGGGTTTGTCAGTTACATTAGCAAAAATCTTTTACAATACGGTGCTATGGATATTAGCCCCGTGTTACTTGTTTGATTTCATGCATATGAGGGTTGATGGGACCTTCCCATCAATTTTGCTAAACTATATAGTCCTCAGTTTAATCTTCTCATATTAGCAATGGTCGAGTGTCTTCGAGCAACATTTAGGGTCAATGCAACAACAGAAGGAGTACAGTACTGCCAGAGTATCATCCCATAATCAGTAGAGGAACAAACAGACGTGGCAAACACAGTAAAGTAGATTTTCGTACATATCCACTGAGGAGATTGCCAAAAAGTCAACCTCTGACAGTCATTATCCTCTTCCTCCTCGGCATCCGCTTCTGGACGAGACCAATTCTTTATTAACTGGCTTTGACTATCACCACGGACTCTGAGACTCTAGAAGCCTGCCACTAGGGGGAGCCCTGTGGCAGGCTTGGCCACTGTCCGGTCCCGTTTAACCGGTTCCAATTTTCTCTGGGACCGGTTAACCGGTTCCAGAGAAAATTCGTCCCCCTAATGTAATGTAGCTCATAACCTTGGCCACGATCGGTCCGGACCGCCGGTTAACCGTCGTGCCCGTCTACCTGGTCCAATTTTCTCTGGAACCAGTTAGCCGGTCCACCTTTTTTTCTGAACCGGTTAACCGTTAACGGGACCGTGTCCAAGCCTGCCCTGTGGACGGTCGTTTTCACCAAAGTCAACCATTCATCATCTCGACACCAGCGAGAGGTGACCACGAAGAACAACGTTGACCGCTTT